GGAAGACCAGAGAGCAGGGCATTACAGTAATCAATGCGACTGGTAATAAAAGCATGCATCAACATCTCCATGTTGGCCTGAGAGAGAGTAGGGCGGACTCTGGCTATATTTTTTTAGATGATAAAATCCAATTTTGGTTACATGTTTAATATGTGGGATAAAACCAAGCTCAGAGTCGAAAATAACACCCAGGTTTTTCACTTGTAGCGAAGGACATAGTGAAAATGCCTGTAATTTAGACAAGAGTCTCTGAGCCTCAGGACCGACGATTAAAACTTCAGTTTTGTTCTGGTTAAGCTGTAAAACGTTTTCTGCCATCCAAGATTTTATATCTAGAATACAGTTAAAAAGGGCATCCATTGGTCTGGTGTCATCAGGAGACACGGAGATGTACAGCTGAGTATCATCAGCGTAACTGTGGAAGTTCACTCCATGCCTCCTGATGACACCGCCAAGAGGGAGCTTATACAAATTAAAAAGTACAGGACCTAAAACCGACGCTCGGGGCACTCCACAAATCATTTTATGGATCTTAGAGGAGCATGTATCCATACTCACCATAAAAGTTCTGTCTGAGAGATAGGAAGTGAACCAGTTGTGTACAGCACCAGAGAGGCCCACCATGTGTTTCAGTCTGTTTAAAAGAATAGCGTGGTCTACTGTATCAAAGGCTGCGCTTAGATCCAGTAGCACCAGGACTGAGAGCTTTTGGGCGTCCCAGTTATATCTAAGATCATTTAAAACCTTTAGGAGAGCCGCCTCTGTGCTGTGGTTCACCCTAAATCCAGACTGGAATATCTCCAGGATCTGTCTATCATTTAGAAAATCATTAATCTGAATAAAAACAAGTTTTTCTAAAATTTGACTTAAAAATGGTAAGTTGGATACAGGTCTGTAGTTATTAAAATCATTACAACCCAAATTGCTCTTCTTCAGAAGGGGCCTCACCACTGCCGTTTTAAAGGCAGCAGGGAAGACACCCAACTGAAGAGAGCAATTCATCAAGCTCAACTTCAAAAAATCCATAAAGTGTTTTAAAAAGTAAAGAGGGGATTGGATCTAAAAGACATGTGGTGGGTCTCACTTTGAACTTTCTTAAGGTTCTCAGCATTAACCACGACAAACCTGTCCAGTGTCTCCTCAGATACAATAGAGCCCTCAGATATGTTTAAAATCATATTGCGAGAAGATAAAATATCAGATCTGATGGCGCTGATTTTTCCCCTGAAGTGGTCTGCAAACTGCTCACAGAGTGAGTCTGTGGGGTTCTTTGGGAGCTGTTAAAACCTGGGTTAAATAAATAATCTATGGTAGAAAAGAGGACCTTGGGATTATTTTTGTTATTACTAATTATTTTGGAAAAGTATGAATTTCTTGAATTCCTTAGTGTATTATTGTACATTTTAAGTTGCTCGCAAAGTATTTGATGGTTGATTGCATTTTTATTTTTCCTCCATCTCCTTTCTGCTGCCCTTAAGTTTTTTGACTTCTTCGTTTCTCCATGGTGATGCATGTTCTTTTTGGTGGTGAGTGGAGCAACGGAGTCAAGGCTTTTCTTCAATTTGCTGTTAAAATGATTAAAAATAAAATCGCAGGGTTCAGGTAAAATCACAGGGGGGGCATTCATCTAAAACCCTGGTATAATTTGCAGCCACTTCAGAGGTTAGATAGCGCCTCCTCACAGTTTGCACCGAACATGTTAGTCAAATGGTTGTTTACCAAAAGTATCACCGTATCATAGGTCCTCATGTATCTCGTACCTAGTGTTTCTTTTTAGGTTTGTTATATTTCAAATTCTATATTTATTAAGTTATGCAGGATTGTTTGCACAACAAGGCTAAATAATTATATAAATGTTTCTGAATCTAAATAGTGGACTTTGGTAGAATTAAAAAATAAGTGTAGTGCAGGTCTATGATGAGTTTAGTGCTACTATCATCTAGTTCTGATTCTGGTTCTGTCTTGGTTAAATCCTGCTCTGGGTCTGGTTGAATTGGGGTTTAGTTCTTGTGTCTTGATGCAGCCCCGACTTTGTTCTGCCTTGCTGCTTAATTAAAAAACTAGTTTAAGGTGTCCTGCATATGTGATATATATTTTTCCCTATATGAAGTCATTCCTTTTTGAACAAAACTCAAAACAGAGCCAATTAATCTTTCAGTCATTTCTGAAGTCAAATAATCTGAAAATATTGCAAAATCAATCTTTTTTTTTTTGTATTCTTCTATAATTTCATTTGATTGATAAATTTGGCAACCCAAAGTGTCACATTGTTATTTTATGATTCTATAGACTCACATTCTCTTTTACACAGGTTTACGTCTCTAAGAGACCTGGTGAGCAGGAAGTACCTACACCTGAAAAAACACCCCCTTCTAAGTGGGGAGGGAAAACAGGCCAAGGATGTGCTCTTCCTTTTCAATGGAATGGAAAAGATGCAACTGGATTTCCGAATTGGAGCCTCAGAGCTTTGCAGTGATCCTAATGAGGGACTGCCTCCAAGTGTAGTTGTGGTAAACCTGCTAAGAAAGTATCTGTTGCCTGAGGTAAGAAAAAACCAAAAGGGGTTAACTAAAGGTAGTGATTAAACAAAAAATGGCTAAAGCTAATATGTACCCCCACTCCAGGTTTTTGTTTCATTTCAAATCTGACCAGGTTCTTGTCTTTTATTTAAAACTACAAGCAAAATGAATAAAAGTAACATTTAGCAAAAGAGTGAGTTTAGAAAAGTATGCTAACAATTAAAAAAAATCATATTATTTTTAATATTACACATATTACACTGAACACATGCAGTTTTTAATGCAGTACGTTAGTTAATCCCAGGAGAGATTTGTTCTACTACATTTTACATCCTATGATCATTCTCTTAGTTTTTAGGTGTGAACACAAAATAAAGATGAAAACAAGCGCAAAGCAACTTTAAACCGATTACCAGAGTAATTCTACTTTAGAAACATGAACAGGTAGACACGGAGGCTGCACCCTGACTGTTCATCCGTTTGGTACCTTTATGACCTATACTTGAGATGTTATGTTACTGGCGGCATGTGTCTGTTTGGATTAATCAAACAGTTAGGATTGGAAAATTTGACCAGTCGTGGCCTTAAGTCCAACTTTGACTTAAAAAGTTAATCACTTCTGTCTAGTACTGGAATATAGAAGCGCGGGATTATTAGGCAGAGGATTATGATTTCAAACCCGTTGAAAATAAAAACTAAAAACACTTCAAATACATCATGTTCTTAAGAAAGTATAACGAGTAATTTAGATCCAGATAGCTTTGTCGTTCCAAATGCCTTGAGGCAACTATTGTGATTTCGGCGCTGTATAAATAAAATTTAATTGAACTGAAGTGTGGTGTGAATTTTCAGCCATGTTTGTTAGATTGTAAATCCCACTGTTTGTAAATGGCACTTATTGTCTACTTTATATGTTTCACAGGCCAGCATCTTGATTACGACAAGACTGTCTGCTTTGGACTGTATCCCTCAGAAGTATGTTACTCGTTACGCACAGATACGTGGTTTTAATGACCCATCACGCCAGCGGGCGTACTTCACCAGTCGCCTTCTAAAGCAGAGTGACACTGCACATAACCAAGAGGCCCAGGATCTTGTAGAACTGCTTTACCTCAACCTCCAGAGAGAAAGCCAACTTGCTGCTGCATGTTTCCTTCCATCGTATTGCTGGCTCACTTGTGCAACCTTACACTTTCTGCGTTTTACCAATACCAAAGCCCCCATCCGCACTCTAACTGGCATATACACAAGTTTCCTCAGGCTCAATTTTGGGGGTGAAGTGCTCGGTACAGGAGCAGGGACGGACATGCCCATTCAGGAACACCAAAGTTCTCTGATGTTATATGTTGTCCGTACAGTAGGTAAGCTTGCATTTGAAGGTGTGACATACAAACGCACATCCTTCTCAGAAGCAGAACTAGAGCAGTGGATAGGAGGGAAGACAAAGACAGATGAGGAGCTTCATCAGCTGGCCATGTTCCGCACCGATGTACTAGACTTCTTTTTGGCTCCTTCCATAGAAAGTGGTAAATCTATATTACAAGACCTAAGGGAAAACAATGAGAAGCAGTATGTGTTTGCTGTCCCAGCCATGCAAGAATACCTGGCAGCACTCTATGTAGTTCTAGGAGAGAACAAATCTGCTCTTGAGAAGCTCACCAAGAAAGTATCTGTGGCCATTGGTCAGGCAAGTGAGGATGTCAATGCCCTTGTTAACATCTTTTCTAAGTTAATTCCCCTCCGAATTTTTGCAGTATTCAATCTTCTTAAGCTTTTTCCAAAGCTCTATGAGAAAATCAGCAGTCTCAACAAAGGCAGTATAGCCAGAACCATGGCAGCTGAGCTGTTCCACACTGAGGATAGCTACAACGAGGATGTCCTTGACCAGGTCGAGCAAAACCTTGTAGGAGTCCATGGCCCACAGCAACAGCAGTACAGTGAACGTCAACCTTTTGAGCTGTACCCTATCTTCATGGGTGGGCTATTGCACTATGGTAACCGTGTGCTTCTCCAACAACTTGGCTGCAGCATTCAAAGCACCACTGTGGCCCAGATCACCCATGCCATTAGGAAATACCTTGTTAGAGGTAAAAAAACAAACAACAACAACAAAAAAACGTTCTCTTGTGAAACAAAGTACTTAATCTGCCTACAGAGTAATGTTCTGTAATTGCTAAAGCTTTAACAGTTACAAAACATATATTTATCGTTAGAACTTTACAAAAGTATTAGAAAACAAGAAACTGAACATAAAACTCAGATTTACTTGTAAACATTTATGTGATATGAGATAAATGAACTAAAGATAGAAATTGTGTCTGTAATTGGTGTATGGCAACCCATATTGCATATTTTCATGTAGTATGTGTTCTTTTGATACTAGAGCTTAACAAGCCACAACCACCAGAAGAGCTGATGGATCTGTTGGTCCTTCTATATGAGTTCCAGAACCCCAGACTGACTGCAGAGGTTGTAACTTCAATCAGAGCTATCTGCCTCACCAACATTCGTATGACTTCACTTAAATGTTTCATACTGAGTTCTGTGCTTTCCTGCACCCCTGCAAGGTAAATTATTATTTGAAGGAACTGGATTAGAGATCGACTGACTGTGTATGTGTATGTTATGTCAAAAGAGGTGGAAATACATCTTTTACATCCGAGAGATGGTAAAAGAATCAGAATCAGAAAGGGTTTTATTGCCAAATGTTGAGAAGGTATACAATATTAGGAAATTGCTTTGGTACTTAGTGTGAAACATACTGTAAAACAAACACTTAAATGAACATAAAAATTCAAAGTAAAAGTGCTAGGCAGATAGATGTATACATAAATACAGGTGAAATGCAGGCAAAAGGTCTCTATTTGTGCTTTTGCTAACAGTAAATAATTTGTGTTGTTAATCAAAGATATCAACCAATGTAAAAGTCTCATTAATATATTAAATGAGAGTTGTGTAATGGAAATTATTATCATATCTGGATTTTATGTGCATAGACATGATCCAACTTCAACCTTGGCAGATTAGTGTCTCTGTGGTTGCAGGAATGTGAAAGACAAAAAATGTGTCACCAACCCATCATTATGCATAATTCCGAATAAGAGAAATGGTATTAAGTGTTGTAATTTGTGACCA